GAAGACCGTGTCTCCACAAAAATCGATAAGCTCACCCCCCGAGAGTGCTTTTTATATCCTAGTAATTCGCTAGAAATAATAAAGAAAGCTTTCCGACAGCTTTTGACAAACCGGTTGTTATTTTATTCATTAATGGGGACATAAAAGACATCCAAATTTTGAGGCCGGCATGCTTTCAAATCCAAAGGACGCGTGGCCGACAGAAGGAAACCGCCGCTGGATAAAAGACGCACTAGAAGTTTTCTCTTTTTTACGCAATTTCCGAGCCAGAACTGGTTCTTCGAAGTATTTTTGGACGTCGTAAATGTATACGTGATCGATCTCGTATGCTGGGTTACGTGCGTGGCCTGGTGTATGAGAGCCGATGGAAAAAAAGGAGAGGGGTGGCGGAGATCACCCTCATCACGAGACATAACGACGGTTTTACCCCGTTGCGGTTAATCATTCGCAAATAGAGCAGCCCAGCCGTAAACCACAGTTGAACCGTACGACAGGCCAACACGAAATTAACAAATTTCACTGGACAAGTCGGCGTCGTCCCCGTTCCTGTTCCCGTCCCGATTCTCCGATGACCATCGGACGCATAATTAGACCGGCCACCCAAGCCACCCACCCACCCACCTATCTACCTACCTTTCTACAAACCTACCTATCCCGAGGCTACTAGGAACCACCTTGTCAACCCTCGTCTCGCAACTGGTGAGACTCATTTGCCTCTATGCGTACAGTTTATGCCTAATGAGGCTCATTTGACACGGCCTTCCCTGGAAGGACATACATATTCCCAAGGTCCTTCTCAAAATCCCTTTGGTTTTCCACTGAAGTCTGGCGGGTACCTCAGCAGTGGCTCCTTCGTACTTGGCTGCGTTTAAAAATGAAGAGCTCCATTGTATCTCAATTTTGATATCGTAATGAGCTGCTTGACCAAACTTTAAAAAGTCCCCTCAGCAAGGGTAAATCCAACACCAGGGAGTAGTAGTAGCTAACCTTCTGTACCGTCGGGGTGCCAATAAATTGAGTCAACCTCCGCAGCTTTCGGAGCTTTCCCAGCTCTCCCAGATTTCCTGGCTATATCGTTTAGTCGACGTCCCAATGACCAGAATCAACCGCATCGTTTGCTCGACCGCCGTGACTGACCGATCGAACGATCAAGCGGTCGAATGATTCAAGGCTTCAAGCCCCCAAAATTCAAGACCTCTCAAAGCCGACCCCTGGTGACACAAGCAGTATTTTCATCCAGCAAACCATACCTTACTCTGAAGTACGTGAAAGAATAGACACGTGTGTACGCAACGAGTACGTATACCGACGTGTAGTGAACTTTGGACGAAAGAGAAAGAGAGAGAGGAGGTATGAAAGGTCACCTAGCAGCAGCAGCAGCAGCATCCACGTTTACGTGGATAGCTGATTTTGACAACATCCTGTACACTACAAGCTCCGAAGCCTGGAGTTTCCTCGTGAAAAAGCTCGCGCGACTAGCTATTCGCTTTTGGCGAATAGCTCGTAAATTATACGCAGTAACCGAAGCGTTGGAATTGGTCGGACGTACCCTGTAAAAACCCTGTTAAATGGAGTATTAATTGCGAGATAACGAGACGCGTCGGGAGTCCTCGTGATGTGGGGAGTTTAACTGGGCTTGGATACTGATTTTCGAATACGCTTTTTACGAGAGTCACCGATACTAAAAGCGCTCCTAAAACCTGGGAATGAATTTTTATAGTGTAGTCCAATGCATCACTGGCTAATCAGCAGAACTTTTTTCTGTTCGATGAAAAACGGCGCATGATCGGTCAAGAATCACTGGATTGCGATCGGGTGCGATAGGTGTGCCTAATGTGATCCAGGATTGAATTCGTGGATTTTCCAAATACTGGAATGAAAGGTCCTGATCCGCTGAACCGAACCGTCAGTGGTAGTCTAGAACTGGCGGTAAGTGTGGCGAAGGGCGAAGGGCAAAGGTAAGCGGGTGAGCGGCGACGGTTTATGGGATGCTTGTAAAACACACCGGGTGAGAGTTGCTGGGTGTTTGGGGAATGCAATTCAGAGAAACGGACTGGGACGAAACAGGGAGCACTTTGAAACCAATTCCCGACCCTTTATGGACGCTGATAGGTTCACGACGCTTTCGAGTATTCTCTTTTCTTTTTATCTGCATCGCCTTCCAGATTCTCTACTTATCGCGCTTCACCTATTTTCCCTTTTGCGTAGCTTGTAGTGATATAGTGTAGTAGAGAGTAACGAGTAGTACATGCGTGCGTATACATCAAAGAATTTGTTTGTGTGCAGTTATGGGTGAGCGTAAAATAAAAAAAAATGTCAAACTCAGAAACAATTAGTTTCGTATTCAGAATCGATTTCACTTGAAAACTAAGGCTGACTGTGTAATTCCGAAGGGTAGTCCGGTGGTGGGCCATTTAATGGTTACGTCTGACCGCTAATCTACCTTACCAGTGGCTCTGTCCTGTAAAGGCGGGGTTAGCCCTCTGTCCTCTCGCCGCCCCCGATTCAGCGGCGGCTACTAATTATTCTTTCGCCTGACCAAACCGTTTATAGCTCGGCCGACCGAGTGCGTTTACTTCCTAAATGTCTTCCAAGATTATCCTCCTGCTCCAATGATTAACCTCCTGCACACTTAATAGCGTGATTACGGCCGTTTCTTCCCTTCGTCCTTTTCCCTCCTCTCAACACTCGCTACATTCTCGACTTCCTCGCGGCACTCGTTTAGTTTCCCTTCCAAGTGTCCTTCGTAAGTATATACCTTTTGCGAGTAATATTTATCTTCAATTATTTGTCTTTCTCCGTCGTCTCGCCGACAGTAATACAAAGAAAATTATATGTAAACGTGTTGGCAGCTCCGATAGAGAAGAGGGGGTACAGCTACCAAGAGAGAGCTTATTATTGCGGAGTTTTTCTTCGGCTGGCGAACGCGAAGTTGTAAGTCTCGTTAGAGAAAGTTCTTAAAAGGGAACGATCAAATGAAAAGTTCAGTCGCTCCAGTCGCTCCCTCGATCTGTCATTACCCTTTATCTGTCGCGCGTCAACTTCGACTTCTTCTCATTCTTTTGCCAGTCCTCTCTTAGCGGCCATCGTCATTCTACAGATTATTGATGCTGCACCGGTTTCGTCGTTAGGGCAGAATTAGGAAGTACGATGTTTCAAGGACATTTGAAAGCTCGACTTTCGTATCTTTTTTTAAATTTCAAAAATCTACAAAAATTCCACGGCCCAACTTATTTGAACTTTTCGAACGATTGGCATTTAGGTTTATCGATTGGCGCGAGTCTCGTAAACTGTCGAACGTTATTATTACTTTATTTCCTTCTACCACTGCGCTCATTTTATTCCAGAACGGGAGACTCGCAAAGGCACGTTGGCAAAGTAGGAGAAATGAAAATGTATCTGGTTCTGCTATTCTGTACGACTCTAACGATATCGCGATGCTGCTACATTTTTCCCAAAGGTACTTTCATCTATATAGGTATACGAGCATCATAGCTGTAGAAGTTATAGCTGTAGAGTATATATATGTTGTAGTTAACCGTGTATCAATATAACGATTTTGACGTCACAGTATATAAGCAACTTGTACATCAAGATTCCAGGTAGATCGAAAGGAAAGCAAAGAGTGAAGGAAAAGCTGATGTAGACTTTCCTCGTGAAATAATTAAATTTTGTTTAGTTGGTCTTCGTACGCGCACGATGTTCTTGCACACATTATAAGTGAATATACATTAGGTCGATTTCGAAGCGCCTTTCCCACCTGGTTCACGTCCTACAGTTGTACGTTTTTTTCCAAGTTGATCGTCTTCTGTTTAATATAGCGACTGTGACAGAACGAAAGCATACTACCACTTTGTCACTGTTAATGGCGCGTATTGATATCGCCACCGCGCCCATCCTGATATCGATAGGTTCCATATTGACTGAAGAAAAAGTTGTACGAATAAACTCGACGCGCGTGCAACTAGAGTTTCGTATTTTGCAATATAGATTAGTTGATCGTAGACAAACATGGAAGAAGAAGCAAAGAGCCAAAAAGAAAGGAGAGTGTGAGATAAATGCAAAGCGTGTAAAGTACAGGCAAAAGAAAAAAAATGTACAGGAAAAGGTGCTTAAGGGAAAAATAATAACTTTTCGTTACCGGTACGGTACAGCTACACGCGCGCGCGCGTATATGTGCGTGTGTTTTTGTCTTTGCCTCCTCCATTTATTCTCCTTCGCTCTCAGCCGTTTTTTTTTTTTTTTTTTTTTTTTTGTT